GAGGGTCAAAGAAACGATTTTTTTCGATTGATTTATACAAATCACTTATCATTTAGATTCTGAGGAGTTAGATAAATATATTGTTTTTTAATATTATTTTACTTTTTGTGGCCACTATATATTTAATATTTATATTATATTGAATATTAAAAATATTTTTTAAAAGTTGAAATTTGAAAATTATAATGTTTTTGAATATGCCTAATAATTTTGTCGTTTCTAGATTTGTTATAGATTTTTAATTATTATTATTCTTAATATTATGTATATATTTTAATATTGTAAAAATAAAAAATGTTTCATGTTAATAGTATAATAATTATTGTTATAGATAAAAGGACTAATTTGGAAATGTGAGGTTGATTTAGTCTACTACTTTAACATATATTTTCACTTTTATTGTTATTCGTGAATTTATACTTCAAAGTTTAAACACTAACAACTTATAAATAAATGAATTAATATTTGTTATTATAAAGTTAACATATTGTATGAAAAAAATATTTGGTTAAAGGTTGTAAATTTAAAAAATATTAATATTCTTAAATTAGGTAGACAACCTGAAAAAAATTTATTTTATAATAAATTACAGTATAGACTATTTATTTATAATTACACGTACTCATATATTTCTTTTATATCAACCGCAAAAACTATTATTTTCGAAATATTTATTTGAACCTCACTAATAATTTTAAGTCACGTATTGGATTTGACCTGCTGAAATCTTGGCCTTTTAAAATTGTGCTGGGATGTATTTAATTAAAAACGACTAGGTATCACATACTTTGTAGAGTATTTTGTTTTAGTACTTAGACGAGTATATTTTAGTTTAATAAACTGTGATTTATTTTTAATAATTAATTACTTGTTTTTTTTATTTACGATAGTGTGACATTTATTGTGTATTTGTGTTTTTTTTTTTTTATCATAGACTTTGTAGGCTGGTATGTGCAATATACATTCTTAAAATGCCATTATTTTATACAACCGACATTTTATTTTGTAAGATCAATATTAATTGATCAACAATGATATATTTTATTATTATTATTATTATTGTTATTATTTTATTACTTTATATCTTAATTATTTTTTAAATACTCAACAGCATATATGTTATTAGCCTACTTTAACTTAAAACTAAATACAGGTTTATTTTTTTTAAGCTAATGACAATTTTTATAGTTTTACAATATTACTTATTAGGTTAAATTTTAAGAAAAAATATCATGCGTTCTTTTAGAATTTTCTTTTGAATGCAAAGCTTGTAATAAGTGCTTGCTGTTGGGAAAATTAATTTTTGATAATTTTATGTCTTTTAGTATATTAATTATTTAAAAGATTAGAGAATTTAATAGCTTTTGTGTTTGATTAATGATTTTTTTTCATATGCCATAATACTTACTGTAGTGTTTTAGTTTACACACATTTCGGAATGTTATCGATGTTTGATTAGATCAGTGGATTACACAGTTATGGTTAATAAAAAGTGAAACTGATTTTTTAGGCTTTATTTTTCTATCCATTACATTGTTTTATTTCATGTTTGCACTAGGTAAACTAGTAAATATTAAACAATAAAATACAATTTTGGTTTCTAAATTAATATTAATAATTCTCATAAATTACTATTAAAATATATTTAAACAATTGATTTTCTATGAAAAAATTTCAAATCCGAGTTTGGTTAAAGTAAATTAATATTTTTTTGTATTTAAATTTTAAATTGAGTGAGGATGAAATAATCAACAGACAAATATACATACAATTTATAACTAAATAATTAAATTTGTAGTTTTTTAAGTATAATATTTAAGTGTTTAATACTTAATACATATTAACAACCGCAACATATCGCCGCACTAGAGAAATTGTAGTGAATGGCATTGAATATACTTAGAATTGAAATGAGTTGTAATTTGTATAGGTTTTAGTAATATTGTTCACGTGTAAATAATATATACAGTAATTTGAAATTACGCATTAAATCGCCAAAACATTAAACGATATTGTACTTGACGTTAAATTTTTAAACTTAATGTAGGTAACCGTACTTATGAGTTATAAGGATAATAATATGTATTAATGATGGATTAACGGATTGTGATTTTATTTTATCGAAAAACGCCTACATGTTTATTTTTAAATGTTTTCTTTTGAATATTTTACCTACCTACGTTAATGCTATAAAATGTAATCCGAAGAAATCATTTAGCGAATTAATGTTATACTGGACGTTTTGTTTTAACTATTGAAGGTGTACGTGATGTGAAATTGATATTGTTAATTACAATAGAAACAATATAAATCACCAATTATTAATAATATAAAGACATCACGGAATTCACTATTTACCATATTATACATATTTATATAAAATAAAATATTATACTATATTATAAATAAATTTCTAATTATCTAATTATAATTATTTTATACTCTCATCGAAAGAAATTCAATAAAATATTTTCGAACATCACAAAGTCAACATAATTACGTCTATTAGCGTTTGTAGAATACCTGTTATATAACACGTTTTACGCATTTCGAAGCTTGTTAATTAGCACGTTTTAACTCATTCAATAACAAACTTGCGAATGACTTAACGCAATATATTGCCGTACATTTTGTTTTTAAATAAGTACCTATACAGTCGTGAAACGACATTCTGGTGATATATACTACTGTTACTGTAACAGTTTATACGATTATTAAAGAATACATTTATTCAGTAGGTACATTCCGATTATTATAGTCTCTAGCCAGGCACGTGTAGTTGCCCTTTTGGAATTTGTGGGAATAAAAATAATATATTATTTATACATTAAATATATATATATATATAAATATATGTACGCGCATAACACATTAATCTCCATCTACAGAACAACGATGACGACGACGTTGGCTTGAAAATAGTCTATTTTTAGGAAGAACGCGCAGAATCATAATAATAATTATACTCAGCAGCGGGGACGTCTCTGATCATTGTCACACTTATTTAAATATTTATAAAAACCGTAAACAAACGACTCTTTCGTGGCCTCACGACAATTTACATGGTCTACGGGCTATACTGCTATATAATGTATTATATTTATAAGTACGGTTTTTAATTATTCAATTTTTTTTTTTTTGTCAAATAGGAATGTTGACAAAAAGAAATTTTCTTGCTTTCGTCTAATACACTATTTTTATAATATTATAATATTATTATAGCTATTGAATACATTCCAATCCCGATAAGTATAATAATGAATTAGCTTTGTAAGAAAATGATTCTAAAAAATGCATATCAAATTACCTAGTTTTCTAGTATTTTGTTTAAAGTATCAAATTTAAGCAAATCGTATACTTATATTGTTTCCTATTATATTGAATTTAATAAATTTAATATGTAAATAGTTCAGTTAGACAAATTGAAGGATAAATGTAAATTTTTTTTTTTTCAAAAATGGACGTATGGATGTTACTAAAATAATTTTTCTTTTACATTCGTATTTAAAATATCGTACATAGTAGTTGTAGCAAAAATTATGTTTTTCTTGTTTGAAATTTTCAAACTCATCATCTCATCAAATAAAATTGTTAGTGTATAAATAATATCTATACTGGATATGTTTGATTGACAGATGTTTAACAACGTTCATGTGTTGTAATGATAAAGTCGTTTACATATCGATGGGAAATGTATCCTAAGTCTGGATGCAACTTATAGTCATATAAGTCATATATACTAATGTTAAATATCCAGAATCTTAAATAAAAAATGTTCTTTTTGAGTTAGTTTAAGTTAGATTATTAATACTTGATTTTGTCATTAAATATGTTATCAAATTTTAAATTTTATAATTTTAGTATTAAAAATGTTATTAGACTTATAGCAATGTGTTATACCTATGCTGAGTAGTCAAAATTTAAAAATATGCGAAAATATTAAAATAAAATATAATAACATTTGAAATGATTAATGCGTATTATTATTTGATTATACGTGAAAAGTGATTGCAACCTTTTATAACACTATACTTTCAATACGTTTATATATTATGATAATTGTATGACATAATATATCATATTTTTGTTTTTGTTATTTTGGCTGGCTAGCCGTCGGCTAAGTCAAGAACAACGGTCGTCAATTATTATTGTTGAGGTGGGCCCGTCGTCGTGACAGTTCACGTCATTTGCGATTGGTTCGAGCTACCGCGTTATTTTTAGGTTAGTTTATTTCCGTATATGAGTTTCATTAACGCCTCAGCAACCGGCAGTAGAGAAAATAAGGCGCACACCGTCCCGCGATAATAATGTTGTAGGTATATTAACACAAAAACTCTCGCTACATAATTTATTATTATTATTAAAAAATGCCCAAACAGCCGATAACATGATCGTGTTGTTTTGGTATTTGGTGCGATTGTTGTTGACGGCGTTCCGGAAGCCAAAATCGTAAGTACCTAAATAAATAATAAACACTGATAGATTTATAATAATCGGAGCACAACGCTTACGTTGCCACGTCGTATTTATAAATTTATACATGCATGTCATACCCATTAGGTATTGTGTACTTATTATGCACCTACCTAAATAGTAATGCGTATTAATTGCAATTTTAAATTTAAAAAAATAAATAGTCGTCCTTGACCTCGCTAACGAAAATTTAAACAGAGCCATACAATTTTAGTAGGTACTTTCGTAGAATGTATATTGTACCTATATATACAATTTTACAATATCCAAGATATTTACTACCGATGTTATGGGGAAAAAAAAAATAACCCAATTCTTTACCTACTGCATTTTTTTTAAAAATAATTTAAAATTTTATTTATAGATCTGTTTTGTGCATTTTTAATATGGAATGCTTACCAAGCACGAAATTTGAATAAATTATTTTGGCATAAAAAGTTGTGTCACCACGCAAATAAAATAGCTAATAATATGGATATTATTATGCGTTTTTATTTTTGCTAACTGAAAACTTTTTTTGTCTATAGGTCGGGCGGAAGTCATGCACTCACTTTTGGAACCTCTACTCATGTTGGTGATTCCTTGACCACCCTCACCATGAAGTCGAGTAATCATTCGGATGCCGGAAGTAAAGATTATCGGGGTGGTTCATCGAGCACCGTTGGCCAAGAAGATCTGATTCCAATATTTTTGAGACGCCTTAATGACCTTAATATCAGAGTCGGAACCAGAACTAGGTTTTTGATTGAACTCGAAGACGCTACGGGTGTTCAGGTGAGTATTTTTTATGTGATTGAAAAAAAAAAATATATATATATATATCGTATGATTAATTGCAATTTTCAAATGTACCTATACAATTCGTTTGTTTTTGTTGATATTTGTTGTTGTTCTTTTCAAATAGTTTTTTAAACAATTAACTATGGACAAGTTTTTAAAATTGAAGCTATTCTATTAATTATATCATATTCGGATTTGTATTTTCTATTACATCGTGACGGTGTTAAAGCTATAATATAATATATAGTCTTGTGCACCGTTAATTGTGTCGAATTTTATAAACAAACTCGATGTCGTAGACGAGCCACGTGATGATTTTGTTTTTCGAGTTTAAAAATAGACGACACTCTTCAATGATTAAAACACAATGCATGTGGTCTAAAAAATCTTTTCTTTCAAATCCTAAATCTGTGTCTGATCCTAATGTTCATAAAGCATTAATCGATTTACATTTCACTACTTCTAAAAACAAAGATTAAACTGTGTAATGTGTATTATTGATTATAATTTAAATAAAAATCGTACAATTGACTATTTATACCGATAGCTTATAATTTTCAAAAAAAAAAAACAATAAGCTTACTAACTATTTATTATTACTTACAATAATTTGTATTATTGATTATTATATAAAAAATTCGTACAATTAACTATGATTAGGTACCAAATATTAATTTTATTATTATCTATTTATTTTATTATGCAATAAATAATCATTGTGCAGAGAATTTTCTGGGGATAATAATGTATGTATCTAATGTTTATAGAAAGATTATTTGTTACTATAATTTTATTATTTAAGTCATATAAACTGCGATATTTGTATTATCATTGATTATACAAATATAATAAATTCTATTTTATAATCTATGTTTTTATGAAATGTTTTTTTTTTTTTTTTTTTTTTTTTATTGAACTTAAGCCCGGCAACTAGGGCCATTAGCTGTTTGTAAGGGTTACGTTGTAGGTTGGTACGGTAGGTTGTATTTTTATGATTGTTACGGTTGATAGCAAACACGTGTATGTGTGGCAAGGTTTTTAACCACTATGATCCCGAATGGTCACCCATCCGGGAGCTAGTAGCTGTGGCCGTTACTTACTCTCAGTCGCATTCCGCGACTGGTAGCAGCCAACGCGCCACGCCAAGCCACTATGAAATGTTTTTTAGCATATTTTTCAAATCTCTATATCTCTATAATTTAGGTATTAGTGATCCGTGTTCGTAATATTATGATTTTATTACTGCAATATTTATTATTAATTTTTCATAATTGGGAAAATTACCCAAAACCACGAAGTTGCAAAATATAGATCACTAGGTGGAAGTGAATAATTTATTGGTGTAGCGAAAAAACCATTAGCCTTATTCTAAATTACCAATAAATATTTAAAATTTAGTCATGTCATGTTTAATTTTAGGTTGCCTTACATTTTTATCATGGTTTTTTTTTTTAGGAAATGATTAAAAATCATATGAAATTGCTGTTGATAATTTATTATTATTTATTATTGAGTAGGTTCGTTGGTACCATAACAACGAAGAAGCGAACAGTGAAAGGTACCAATACATTCACGAAGGAGGGTTTTATTGTTTGGACATTGTCCCTGTAACGTTATTCGATGAAGGTCTATGGGTATGCACTGCACAAAACTACGCCGGTAAATCGTCAACCGCTGCTCATTTATCGCTAACTGGTGAGTACGTAAGGTCGTAAGGAAACAATGATTTCCTATTTTTTATCATCTAAATCTTGTCTTATAAATAATACTGCTTTTTTATCACTATTATTCAAAATATCTATGTGAAGAAAAAAGTCTTGTGAATAATCGTTTGAATATTATTTTATACGTTTTATGTTCACTATCATTAGTTTTGTTTTTGCAACCATTTCCTTGCGGTAGTATAAATTATAAAGTACACATTTTTCATAATTTATTTGCTTAATACTTAATGTGAACTAAATATTTATTTTTTACAAATTAATTTGTAGATTCAAAATTAGCATTTAAAATGTTGATAATTTTGGAGTTAAGGTGTTTAAATTATATACATAATTTTGCAAGATTAATAATTATCGCCACAGATACAAATGTTTTTTTTTTTTAATTACTTGATTATAAATAGTTATTATTATTTGTTTTAATAGACTTGTATTAAGTGTTTTTTACAAAATATTAAATCTATGTTACTTATATTATTTTAACGTGATGTTGGCTTATAGTTCCTAAAGCGTTCAAAAAACCAATTTTCGTCGAACAATTGAAAGCTGTGCTGACACAACGCGGAATTGTCTCACTGGAGTGCAAGGTGATCGGCGTCCCGACGCCTAAGTTACGATGGTACAAAGACGACAAGGAGATCAAAGCCGGCGACATATTTGCTCTGACGGCAAATTCCGAAGAAGACTGCTTGGGCATTTACACGTGCGAGGCAACAAATGTCATGGGCACCGCGCTGTCTACGTCAAAAATACAAGTGACTCATACACCACTCGATGGAAACCGCGATGCAGACAGGTATGCACCATGTGGTAACGATGAGACTAAATACGTAGCTTGAATGCTAGTACACGTTTTTTACGGCGAGAATTTATTTCGTTATAATTTAAATGTGTTTTTTAGTCTCATACCATATGGACCGCCACCGAAGTTCATACAATTTTTAAAAGATGCCTCCGGTAAAGTCGGCAGTGTACTGTTTTTAGAATGTCAAGGTAATTTTTAAAAAAGTATAACAAAATTATGTGTATATTGTATAGTTAGAAAAATACATTTGAAATACTAATAAAGAAAAGGGCCCAAAACTATCTAACTAATTTTAAATTTTTATGATAAATTAATAAAATATGAAATTTGATAAATGTATAGTATTTTAAATTAATAAGACACATAAATTCAGTATCATTTCTTATTGGTACAATTTTGGTTCTTTTTATTTCTAAATAAAGATTTAACACGTGTAGTTAAAGTGTAATCGTTTTTTTTCCTAGTCGAAGTACCACCATGGCCTCGAAGTATTGGATGGTACAACAACAATGGAATAGTAAACGAAAGCCCGTTATACCACCTGATGGCTGATGGGTTGGGCATGTATGGCATAGAAATTAAGTCACTCAGAGCCGATCATAGCACTACTTGGAAATGTGTTGCTACCAGTTCAACGGGAGCAAAAGCTGTCACTTCCTGTGTGGTTTCGGTGTCATGTAATGTTGTTTAAAATATTGTACCTTATGTCATACAAATTTCTTTAATACTATAACATTATTGACTTTATGTTTAATTTTCTCAGACCCAAAGAATTATCGGGTGCCAAGATTCTTAGAAAGCCTAAGGGCAATCATGACCGACGAAGGTTTAGTAAGCTTTGAATGCAAAGTCATTGGATACCCCACACCGCAACTTTCCTGGTTCAAAGACGGCAAGCAACTTCAACCTGGAGACGTTTATGAGTTAACTGGAAGTAAATCTTTAGGTATATTAAATTACATTGAAATTAAAAATATTATTGAAAATTTGAAAATTCTGTGTAAATATTATCATATTATGATTATAATATTATTTAGGTAGTTATTGTTGTGTTGCCCGAAATTGTATGGGCGAAACAAGTAGCATTGCTGAACTTACAATAGAAGATATCCAAAATCAACTGAACGAAAGTGAAAAACTTCAATTGACGTCAAACACACAGCCACCACGGTTTTTATTGGGACTTAAGAGTGTTGAGGCTAATATAAACGAATCTTTTGTTTTTACGATAAAAGGTCAGTGTATTGAACTGTATTGTTAAAAATGATGACTATTTAAAAGCACAAAAACAATGTTTAGATGAACATTTTAAAGTAATTAAACTTTTTTTTTTCAGTTGCGACTGAATCCGCACCTTCAATCAGCTGGTATAAAGAAGACGAACAGTTAACTGAATCAAATCGATACCAGTTTTCTACTGAAGACAATGGAACATATATACTAAGTATATTGTCACTTGAAATTGATGATCAGGCTGAATGGAAGTGTGTAGCAATTAACAAGTATGGTCAAACTGTAACGTCCAGTTTTTTGAAGTTAAATATTCCAAAAACTTTCAAAAGTCCAAGATTCCTCGAGGAACTGAGAATAGCGTTTTCGAACGAGGGGTCGGTTAACTTGGAGTGCAAAGTACGTGAACACTACAGACAGAATTTATAAATACGACGTGTTAAATATAAATGTGTTAAACGATTATATATTCGTCCTATCACAGGTGATTGGCGTACCGCAGCCGCAACTAAAATGGTTCAAAGATGGCCAAGAGCTAAATCCTGGTGACATGCACAAAATAATTTCTGGGCAAAGCGGTACATGCTGTCTGGGAACTTACACTTGCCAGGCACACAACTGTATGGGCACGGTATCCAGTTCAGCAACACTGTTAACAATGGAAGGTAACTTTATGTGCTCAACATTGCATAGTTTATCTATCAGTACTGAAATATGTTAGTACCTAATTATATTTTTGTCTCATTTTAGATAAGTCTACAGTTAAATCATGCGCTTCAGAAGAGTATTTGTCCGTCGGAAATCCACTTGTACGAAATGAATCTTTGTCAACTATTCCCGAAGAGCGAACAAGCCAAATGGAAAAATCATACACTATTGAAGAACCTGCCGATATATCGTTTTCATTTGATGGCAAAGAAGTGACCGTTTCGCTTTATGAAACTCCGGACTTAACGCACGACGAAGCATTGCAAATCATTGAAATGTATGCAGATGAACTATCTGAACATATATCAGGTATTTTATAATATATTAATTAAATAAAATTTAACGAGATGTTATAAAACTGTTTCTAACAAATACATTTTTTTCTGTTAAATTTACTTGTTTTTAAAATTTTAATTTACAGAAGACAATGTTGTTGATTTACCGTCGTTACGAATTGTAAAGGAGTCGTCGATTTCTGGACCTGTTATGATGGAAGCTTTGGTTATAGATGTACCTATTGATTTTTGTAGACAACAAATAGTATCAGACACTGAATTCGATGGTGTTTCGCTAACCGAAGACATAACGCTTGCAAATAATGATAAAAGCGATAGCATGTGTGAAAATAGTCTGGAATATTTTTCGGATCATTTGTCGTCTGGAAATTCGAAACGTGAAGTATTTTACAGTGCGAGTGATACAACACCTAAAAATTCATCAATGATTTTAAAACAGCAATCGGAAGACGATGAGCATCAGTCTTTTCAAACACCAAAATTATTTATGTCAGACTCCGATGATCAGATTCTAACGCAATTGAAATTGGATGAAAAAATTTCACCTTATAATTCTAGACAAGTAATTGGACCATTGGCTCGGTCTGAGAGCAATAATACCGAAGAAGAAGTATCTGAAACACTAGCTGAAATAGAAAACGAACCACTATTATCACATAATTATTGTGCATCTGAAATTGTAACTCAATCTGACGAAGATGGATTGTATTTAACAGTATTAAATAAAATACGAGGCAAGGGAATAGAGGATGTTGTACTTAGTTCGGAAGAAGACGATGTCTTAAAAATTATTTCCAGACCAAATGTGGACGAATTTTTAAAATACATGAAAATTATTTTGGAAGGGTCTATAGTGAAGATGCGCACGTACGAAAATTTTAATATCACTAGTACGACAACTGAACTCGAACGTTCGATCCAAGCTTTACATTCACTTGCTTGGAAATTTATCGAAGAAACGGAAAGAAACGATGTAACGGAGTTGGACAAAAACACTGCAGAAAATGTTTCGAGTTTAATGACTGCAATAAACGCGAGTTTGTTAGCATTAGAACAAATCGACGATCCTTTTGGTGTTTCAGACAATGTATTAAACGAAATTCAATCGTCAGTATGTTTTGATTTAGAAACTCTTAACAATAGCGATCTTTCGGCTTCGGCTATTTTAGATCGTTTATCTGACCAAATAAAAAATTTTACAATCGTTGTCAATAGTCAGATAACTCGAGTTACAGAACAACGTATTATAGCTGTGTTACGAAACACAATTGGCACTACTTTAACGTATATTAAAACGTTACAACAGAACTGTTCTAAAATAAAATGCGTGGACATAAATTCATTGACACCTTTATTTTCAATGGTACAACCGTTAGAAATAATTTTAAATGATATAACCGTCATGGAAGAAGCATCAATAGAAGATAGCAAACCTAACTACAAATTGAAACAAATATTAATACCTCCTATTAGTTCTATTGCGTTTGCTTTAGACAATCTAAATACTACACTAAAAAACGATAGTTCGAATGACGATCAAGATTTGAAAGATATTTACGATAGAATAAATGAATCAACAAATCAGTTTATGATACTCGCTTCGCAAGGTATGGACAACAATAAAATTGCAGAGTGTTTCATATCATTTACAAAACCTATTAATGATTTATGTTGTCATCTTAGACGGTTAGGTAGATCAACAGAAAATATTGTGTCATCCGATTATGGATCTGATGATAAACTTTTATTAGATTTTGAAACACTTTTCGATGAATTGATGATGGATATTGACACACTAATCAACAATGTAAATTTTGTCCAAGATTCCGAAAATAATATGAATCCTCTAGGATCTTTATTAGAACCTTTGCAAGACATGAAAATTGGTTTATTTCAAGTTAACCAAGTTTTACTTTCGAACCAAACTGGCTCAACCATGAGTTATGAAGTTATAAGTTGTTTTGAACATTTATCTCAGCAATTAGTTCAACTAAACAATTGTATTGTGAATCAATCAATAGTAGAAGAAACAGACAAAGAAATTCCATTTGAATCTTCAATAAAAATGATGCAAAACATTCTTTTTGACGATGCTATAGATGATTTAGGTGTAAACGGAATACTTTTTGGTAGTGTTATGAAACCTCTTTTGCAACTTCAAAATCTTATTGTTTCAAAAATGGCTTCAGTAGAAAGCGATCTTAGTTTTTCAGAACATACTGATGTTACGGGTGGAGCTTGTGATACTCAATCATTGAGTTTGTCCTTATCGAATAACGCACAAACCGTCCTCAATAAAGCTACTGATGAGAATTCAAAAAATGTCATAACTGAATCATCAATATTATATAGTTCAGATAAAGACTCTGATAAACAAAATAATATACATATAGATAATTCTGAAATTAACAAAGACTCAACACGTTTTGAAAATAACGTTAATAATGATTTGGTTATAAAAAGAGGTTTTGAATTTGATATCGGTGACACATTTAAAGACGAAGAACCAAATATTATAACATCTGAAGATGAACGTGATAATTCAGGTTTTGAAGCACTATTTGATGAAACTGATTTAGAAACGATAAGTGATTTTGTTGAAGATGGATCTAAACTTGATCATAAATTATCAGATTTATATACTATGAGCGAAAAAGATATTGAAACCATGCATAAGGTAATCGATGATAGTATTCCTGAACATCTATTAGAATCATTAGAAAAAAATAATCAACAAGATTTGGTTTTGAATTCATCAGTAGATTTATTCGATGAACTCCAAGAAACATTAAAAAATATGTCCGAAGTAGCACAAGATAAATTAACTGAAATCTATGACTTAGATAGTACTACCTCAAATATCAATGATTTACAAAAAAATAATTCGAAATATATTGATCAACATTGCGATAAAACTAATAAATTATTAGATGATTCATTAGATGTAGCAAAAATAAATAATTCAACTATCAAAAATACTGATAAATTAACACAACAAAATATAATAGAAATGTCTGAAGTGAAAAACGAAAAGATGAATCAACGTGACGAAATCATTTTAGAAACAGACCAAAATGATACATTCAAAACTAAAGATATGATCATCAGTGGTCAAGATGATTGCATAGAAGAAAAAGTATTTGAATTAGAACAGGGTGTAGATTTGATTGAAAATTTCGAATTTTTAGACTCAGATAAATCAATATCTAATAACACAATTATTACAGTCAATGAAATTTCTGATTCAAGTGAAGTTAAAATGAAAGAAATTGATAATACCCATAACTTAGAAACTGCAGTAAATCTACTTACATCTACTACTGAAAAATATTCCCAAATAGTAAATGTACCAGATGAAAATGTATTATTAATTACCTCTGAAAATAATTTAATATCAAAAATAAATGACAACGATGAAGATTTAACAACTTTATCCAATTTAAAAAATGAAATTTTGGATTCTGTGCTATTAAAAAAATCAAATATTATTGAATCTAATAAAAATATAAAAACTGTTTCGAATGATGATACCGCGGTTGATACTAATAATTTGAATGAGTCAGAGAAACTGAATACACTCAGTAATGACAATGATACTGAAAATAGAGAGATTTTGTCGCTAAAAAATATTGAAGAACCGTTAATAACAGAGAATGTTTCTCAAAGTTTATTTCAACAAGATAATACTGTCGTAAATGAAAGTGATTCTATTCATAGTTCAGAGATATGTATGGCCATTCAAGAAGCACAAACTGGTGTTGAAAATGAACTTAACTCGGAAAAAGATAATTTATTAATTTCAATCGACAAAAGTACTAATTCAATAGAATTAAAGAAAGTATTAGTAACTTTAGTGGATGAAAAGAATGGTATAACATCAGAAACTAATTCAGTGATTGGAAATCAGAATAATTTGATTACTGAAGAAATATTGAAGGAAATCAAACCATACGATAACAGAGATTTAATAAATAAAAGTGATTATACTGTTGAAGAAAGAAAAACACATTTACAAGAACTAACATCATCCATAGATTGCGAAAATTCTATAGCAGTCTTGGAAGATAATATTATCAGGGACATGACTAAAAAACAAAATAGTGGTAACGAAAATTTGAATTTTGTAAAAAATGAGTATAATAATTCTGGAACAGTTGAAATTAACCAAGATATTAATATCGATAACATATTACACCATGATTTGCAACCAAATATAAATACAATTTCTACAACTGACAATAATCAAATTGTTATCTATTCTACTGAATGTGAAAACACGGTAAATCCGATAACAGAATTAAATATTCATCAAACTGAAGAATATGATCAAAATCTGTCTGACAAATGCATTGATGAAGTACAAAATCATGAAAATAAAATTGAATCAGTTAATGAAGAACCTATAGAAAATATTCAACAGAAGTGTTTTACTGCTCAGCAAAATAATATTTTACAGATCTCTAATAGCGAAGTTAAAGCTATTGATGAATTGAATGAACAATGTGAAATTTTATCAGAAATGAAAGTGAATGATGAAATAGAACATATTAATTCGAAAATAGTTGTACCATCGGGGATAATTCAATCGGAAAATGTTAACGAACAGCCTGTTTTAGATAATTCAAATCGTATTGATGATTTAGATAAAACACAGTATAATGTTGATAAGTGTGTTGATAATATGTTGCCAGTTACTGAAAATATGACTGAAACTGCTGGATCAAATGTATTAGACAAACAATCAGAAATAACTATTACAAATTCCGAAGAAGACGAAAATAAACCTGAAAACCCAAAACAAAATAAAAAATTATCTGAAAATAATGAAATTATTGACAGTATAGCAATGCAATTTAAAAATGATGTAACTAATGATTTCGATAATTCACTTCATTTGACTTTAAATGAAAAAGAAAGTAGTTCTGATCAGAAAATCAATAAACTTTCTGAAAACGAAATAACAGAAATAGCAATAAATGACGAAGAAAAGTCTATCAACACATTAAATAAGCCTTTAGAGGATTTAAAACAATCTGATATTTTGGATAATAATGATGCAGATTTATTGAAAAGTACATTGAATAATAATAAAACAATTACTTTAGACAACTCACAGTCAATTAATCCATATGAATTTGAAGAAAATCATGTTCAAATACAATTCAAAGAAAATATTGATTCTAAAAATGAGGATAACAAAGTTTTAAATGATAAAGACAGCATAATAAGTAATTTAGAGCACTTAGAAAGTAAAAATGAAGTTTTAAATTTTCCAGATGAGACTATTAATAACGAAGAAGAGAAATCTTGTTGTGAAATTCAGTATATACAAAATGATGGATCTAAATTGATCAATGAATCACCAAATAGTATGGTTGAACAAACCACTGATTTAATATGTAATGAAATGATTTTAGTATCCAACACTCAACAATTAGATTCAGTTGTTATTGATTTGGAAAATATCAAAGAACAACATGAAATAGAATTAAATATTTCTGAACCTGAAAATATAGCAGTTTTAGAAAATACAATCGATACAGTAGAGAAAAATAATTGGCAAAATGATGATATGGAACAAGTGTCCAAAGATAAATTAATATCAAACCTTTTGGACATGAATAATTTAATTGACGATGGAAATAAAGAAAAATCCATTACAAAAGAGTATATTGAAATTCAGACTTCAAAATTAATTGATGAAAAATCTATTTCTGCCAGTAATAAAGACGATGTGAATAATAGAGAAGGACAAATATTGAATAAATCACAGCTGTCTGTTGAAAGTGAGATCGAAGTTTCTTTAACTGAAAATGACTGTGTTACAACTATTAGTGATTTGGAAACAACAAAAATTAACACAGACGAGAAAATAAATAGTTGTGAAACACTTGCTTCAGAAAACGACCTTACTGAACATAAAAGTTCAATTTTAGTCAATGAAAATACAGAAGATTGTAAAGAAATCGCAAGTCATCTAAGTATGTGCATTGGAATTTTTAATGAAAATAACGTAAGCCAGCATAAAGAATTTACTGAATGTCAACCAAAGGTTATATCAGAAAACTTTGATACTTCAGAAACAGTTTCACTTGACGAAACTGAGATAACAAATATAATAAGCAATGAAGAAAAATCAAATAGAAATGAAAACAATTTAGAAATTAAAAAAACAAGTGAACAGAATAATGTTAAAAATGATACAAATAAAAATGTAAGTCCAATTTTAAATGATGTATGCAAGTATAACATGGAAAATGAAGAAATTCTAGTTAATGATAAAAATCATACATTGAGTTTATGTGAAATAAATTTTGAAAATGTGAATGAAAAACTGTCAAAAGATTTAGAAAATAATAAAGAAATAACTGAAAACAATTTTGTAAAACCGTTTGACATTAAAAGTAATCTAGAAGATACAGATAATATAAAAAATGATGAAATAAATACAGAAGAAATCAATAAAGAATTTATACATTTGGAGGATCTCGATATGTCAACGAATATATTAGAAACAATTATCGATCCAAGTGTTGACACTAATAAAAGTAAAAAACAAAAGGAAAATTCAACTATTGAAAAATTATCAAACTTAGTAGATGAATTAAATACCTCATTAGAAACTCCTAAAAGTGAATGTTTATCAATGAATAAAGACATTGATGGTAAAATTATAGACAGATCTAATGTTGATTTTTCTATTAATGAAAGTTCGGAGATTGAAGTCGATGAAGATATTATAGCTCAACACAATAATACTTCCAAAATTGAAATTCAAGATAAGTCAGTTGACAGTGTGGAAAAAGTAAACGTAGTGACTAAAGATTATCCTGATAAAAATCATGGTATTAAAAGTGATTCGATTTTAATTGAGATTCAAGGAAATGAAGTAAGTAGTACTATAAATTACAATATAGAAAATGAACACTCCACAGTAAAACTTGAAAGTATAAATGCCGATGAAAATAAATTGATAAACGAAGTAAAAATAAATAATCAAATTGATATAATAACTGCTATAGAAAATAACGTCAATGTTTTAAATGACACTATATTTGAAGATGGAATCAACGATTTATCTGCTGAAGAATCATTAGGTACTTTTTCTATAGTGCCGAAATTACATTGTATAGAAAAAATCGCAGCTAATCAGACTGAATGTGTGACGTTAGAAAATACGAATATATTTAAATCAAGTGAACTTAATGGTACAGAAAATATTGACCAACGTGCACAAGTTAAACATGAATTAAACATTGCTGCTATTGGGAACGTAATAATAGATTACGATAGTATAAAAGAACATTCAGTAAATGTAGATGACGAACAAAAATGTACAGAGAATGCGACTATAGCTGTTATTTTAGATGACAATGCGTTTAAAGTCGTGTCGACCAATGTGGATGTTTTAAATGCGCCTACTAAAGATACGATCATAGCAAAGGAGTTAATTGAAGCTGACGAAGTCTCTGAAGATTTTATAAGAGCGACAACGCTTTTATGTGAAAATAGAAATTCTGACATTTCGACGGCTGATATATTAAATGATCAAACTGAAAATTCAGATAATTTTGTTAAAGAAAATGTTCAAAGTAAAATTGAGTTAATAAATAAACCGACAGAAATATTTAATGTCGACACTTATAAACAAGGTGATTTAGCGTTAAAACAAGAGCAGAATGAAGAGATAATTGATGAATCACAGCAATCTTTACAAAAATCAGATCAAATATTTGAATCTTTAGTATTATCTATAGATGGAAATGACACAATGGAAGAGGTCAAAATTGATGTTTCAAATGAAAACATCAAGATTACAAAGGATGAAAATATTACTGATACAAAAGATAAAGTGGATGTAATACAGGAATTGAGTACCAAATCAAAAGAATCACCATCATCATATTCCCCGACAAATAATATTAATATTAAAGAAAATAAAATTGACACAACAGAAATAATCAATGAAACATTAGATGAAAAAAATAAGATGTTGTTAGACGAAATTAAAAATTCTGAAAAAATAATAACTGATTTTAAATCTGAAAAAATATTGGAAAAAGCCGTTGAAACTGATGATCAAAATAAAAATAATAATGAAATAGATAAAAATGAAGAAAAATTGAATGGAAGTGAAATAGAAATAGATAAGGCCAAACGAAGAAGTATAAAAAAGAAATCAAGTCTACCATCAGACGATAAAAAATCACCTTCACCAGATAAAACAAAAAATAACATTAGTATTAGTGAAAAGGAAATTGATACAACAAAATCTATCGATATGAGTATTGAAGAAAAAAATAAAAAAATGCCAAATATGACTAATGACACTGAGAAACTTGAAACTAAACTAGAATCAGAAGTTCTTGTAGAGAGTAATGAAAATGAAAAAGAAGAGTTTGAAAATGAAATTTCAACTAAAGATACTAAGCAGAAAAATGAAAAATTAGTTTCAGATAAAAAAGAATTGTCAGAAAAAAATATAGAAATTGATGAAAAAATACAAGGGAGTAAAGAAAATAAAATAAGCTTACAATCTGAAAATAATAAATCATCGTCAACAGATACCATGCAAAATGATATTAGTTCAAGTGTAAATAAAATTGACTCAAATATTATCAATGACACTTATGAAGACAAAAGTAAAAACCTTTCAAATGATAATACAAACATTGAAAAAGAAGAGATTAAATTAGATAAATCAGAACCAGAAATTGCTTTAGACAATACTAAAAGTATAGAAAAAATAACCAAAAATAATGTTTTAACGGAGGATCAAAATAAAAACCAAAAGAACAATGAAATTGGTAAAGACGATAATATGAAATCTACTAAAAATAATGAAGAAAAAGACAAGATTAAACGAGGAAGTAAAAAAAATAAATCAACAAGACCACGGTCTGAAAATAAAAAATCGCCTTCACCAGAAATCACAAAAAATATTTTAAGTATTAATAACAAAACAGTTGAAGCATCAAAAACTAATGATAACAGTATTGAAGAAAAAAATAAAACACCTTCAGATCATTATAACAATACTGAAAATTTAGAAATTGAATCAGATAAATTCGAACCGAAAATTTGTTCAAAAAATATTGAAAAAGATGTTTCTACTAATGACAAAGATAAAAATCAGAAGAATAATAGAATTGATGCAGATGATAATAAATTGTTGAGAAATGAAAAAAATAAGATAACAGAAGAAAATAAGAAAAAAAAATTAAGTCCAGAACCTGAGATCAAAAAATTATCTTCATCAGATATCACAAAAAATAATATTAGTGTAATTGAAAACAATATTGACACAAACAATATTGATAAAACTACCGAAGACAACAATAAACAAATATCAGAAGATAATAAACACATTGAAAAAGTTAAAACTAAAGTACAATCGAAAACCGTTGCTGAAAATGATATAAATACAACGAAAAAAATTGAAAAAGACGTTTTAAATAATACTCAAATTGAAATTCAGAATAATGACGATATCGGTAGTGATGATAAAATAAGATCAACAGAAAATTATGTAGAAAAAGACAAGGCCAAACAAGGAAGCAAAAAAGATAAATTAAGCCCTCGGCCAAAAGGTAAAAAATCGACTTCACCTGATAAAACAAAAGAAATAACAGAGCATCTTAAAATTCAATCTCGAGACGAAAACGATACCATGAAAGAATTAGAACAACAAGAGAGCAAAATAGATGAATCGAAATATCTAGGAGAATCTAAACAAACACTGAAACGTAAAGAAGTCGAACCACTCGCATTCCCGAAATCATCTATAAATAATTATGGGTCTGCCGATAGTTGTCAATCTGAAATTAACCTAAAAGATATTTCTCGAGTAGGTATTGACAAAAAACAAACGAACGAAACACGGTCTTTCGTCGGTGTCTTAACCGATGAGGAAGGACAACGCGTTGCGAAAAATTGCTTTACAACAAACAAAAAAGAGTTAAAATCGACAGGGTTTACAAAGCTTGATGACGTCGGTGTACTGGAAGTCCCGAGCTCAGGCAAACGTCCGGTTAACCGTCATCTACTGGATGTGACAGACGCACATAAGATACGTCCAAATACTCTTACGTATAGATCTCTGACGCCAGATCCATTAACTTCGTACAGATCCCTGACGCCTGACCATTTGACTTCATATAGATCTCTAACACCAGATAGTCCGACATACAGATCATGCATAACACCGAGGTCTAGGTACGCGACATCGACAAGATATGCGGGTTCATCGGATAGAGAACTATACGGCGGTAGCAGCAGTAGCCGCAGCAGCAGAAGCAGTAGTCGATCTATGAGTCCTTACCTACCAGAGTCTAGGATTTCAGCGCGAAATCTTTGGCCCACCGGCGTAGCAGCGTACCGATGCCTTTCGGAAACATCTGTTCCTCTCAGCTCAAGGCTTCTGGAGGAAGAGAGGACTTCCGGTTGGCCGCACACAAACTACGGTGTAACCACTCGGAGACGAAGGGGCTCTGACAGTTTTCTGCACGATTCAGGAGTGCGGGATGGAAGTTATTATTCTAGTTTTAGATTGTCTAACAGCCGGTCCACCACGTACGGTGCTACCGAGGACCTGTATTTGACAAAGGTAACTACCAAGCAAAATAATGATCATATTTAACGATGGTTTCACTTAAATGTATTTGCCTTTTCTCGTGTGCCCCGTTTTAGGAGGCATTCAAAGGTCTGTACTTCTGCGTTCGGATGATTGACCAAACCGTGTCGTCCGGCGCTCGAGTTAAGTTCTGGTGCAGCGTCATCGGCCATCCAGAACCTCATGTTCAGTGGTATCGAGATGGTCAGAAACTTAACAGTTTTACGTACAATTCTTCCGCGAGGTAAGTGTAGGGCTAAAACCACGACGGAATAAACAAAATTAAAAATTGACTACAGTGTTCATAAAGATTTTCTTAATCTTAACAAGTTCTTAAAAATGATCAATTATATAGTTTTTTGCTTAATTCCCTTAACTTTAAGGTACTATATGGAAACAAATAATAATAATATTTTCAATATCAAATATTTAATAGTAATTATTGCAGCTCATAGATTAAATGTTAAAATAATATATTATATTGCATGGGTGGCCAGCAAGAAGAGACTTGCCAGCCGCCCAATATATTAATAAATATGGAAGAGCCAAAATGAAAAAAAAAGTGTATGTTAATGTATGTATATGATCATTGTAAAAAAGATAATTATATATAAATTATAATAAAACGCATAAAATGCGAAACAATATATGATATTAATTAAAAATTAAAAATTAAAATAAATTCATATTGAAAATAATTTTTTTTTTCAATAATGTTTGTATCGTACGATAAGATGCGAACCATGCGAGTCTATGGCGGGAGCCGCAGTTTGGCCACCCCTGTTGTATTGTATCCAATTATTAATATTGCTATTTAAAATTAATTTTATATATTTTTAAGATACTAAGTAGTATCTATTTACTAAAATAACAACAACAATAATAATTATAACATTATATTCCATTCGTCCATTTCTCTCGTATTACAGATATGAGACAAAATATGACGGTGGTTTGGCACAATTGATTATAAACAACGCCCAGAGTGGAGATTCTGGCGAGTATACGTGTGTAGCTATCAACAGCCGTGACCGGATATCCACCACTGGGTTCCTGACTGTGTATACGTCTCCATCGGTGTTCAATAAACCACTGCTACAACCATCCCTATCAGTGGACAGTATCGAATCCAGTCGTGGAGTTTACTCTCGGACTAACCATAATTTCCGGTTACCTGCAAATTCCAAGTTCGATTTTGGTTCTCGGAATTTTGGAAGTGACTTGGTTAGTAGGCGCCCTGAGTATCCGAAGTTTATATCCAGTATAATCGCTGACGATGTGGCGACGTGTGGTGGTACGATTGCACTACAGGTCCGGGTGCAAGGTCAGTATAAGTTGTATCATTTGTATAAACTTCTTTGAATTATGGTTTTTCATAATATTAAGTACGTATACTTATATGAAATTTGACTTTTTCGGAATATTTATTAAATGTCTCTTTTTTTTAATCCCTCTACTTACAAATGAGAAATCATCGTATCACTTATTATTTACTAATTAATTTTATTTATTTTACGTGTTTCTTTTTTAAATTTTGTACATACGGGTAGAAGCTTGCTAAAACGGTATTTAGCACAACAAAAACGTTATTTGCACAAACTAATTGTGACCAAAATTTTAAAACTGAACGCGGTTAGGTTAGGTTAAGTTACGTTCTAATGAAATACAAACACTATAAAATAGAGTTGTTGCAGGTTCTCCAGTGCCGAATGTGACGTGGATGCGTGAATCTAGGCCACTACCACGTTTATCAGGCAAATACGTTTATCTGGACGAGGGTGGGCTGTACACGCTGCTGGTAATGGACAGTACGGTCCGGGATGGTGGAACATACGTATGCCGTGCGTGCAACCTTTATGGGGTGGCGGACGTAGAAAAGGCAGTTAGGGTGGTGTCACCGCAGGACTACACAGACCGTAGGGGCGTGAAGCCAGCCATTATCGTGTCAAGACCTGATGATCGACTGAACGTGGCCATCGGCGAGGACATTACCGTCACCCTCCGGGTGGCCGGTGAACCGAAACCAAAAGGTACATAATATATTATAAGGGTGTGAACTCAAAGTGGGCACCCATACTGTTATAATTATTATGTAGGTGTAGTGGTGTATGGTTTAAAAAATATATTTTTTCCATTACATTCTGATAAAAATATCAATTTATCGAAATAAATAAGACATTTTTTATAAAAGATAACAATATAATTTATTACATTAATATAAACGTAAAATATCATTGTTTATTAGTTTAGTGAATGAAATAAACGAGTGAATATATTAGACGATAAAGGCATAAAAGAAGAAATATTCATAAAATAATAAGAATAATTAAATATTAATCAAAAAAATATATTAAGTACACCTAGTTTGTGCTTCAAAATCCTTTGCAATATAAAAAATCGATATGGCCAAAAATTTGATTCACTAGTGACAGATAAGTTTTGAGAAAAATAAAATATATGTGATACAAAAAAATTGCAAAAAAATTGATATTAAAAAAAAAAAAAACATTAAACAAACGTAATTATCTTTCGTGGAATAATTGTAATATATATAATATTATATACGTATTATTAACACCAATTGTTGATTGTATAAGTCAGGAAATCAGTAAATCAATAAAATAAATCATAATATATTATATACCTACCTAAACATAATAATTTATCAATTTTTATATGCACTTCACATAACATCATTCTCGGTACTGACTTTATACATAAGTTTTATAATATAATTAATAATGTTATGTGATTCCTCTCTCCGAGTCTCATTAGACCTACTGACGTAACTTTTATTAAAAATGGTCTGGATTAATTATAGATCACATAGAAAATATCATTCATTTTTAATAATGTACGGTTATTTAATATTTATGTTAAACATTGTGTAAACGTGTTACAAATATATTTAAAACGTTTCGTTCTAGTCATATGGATGAGAGGTTCGAGGGACGTGACATTCTTCGATCGGTCGTCAAAGGAAACGGTCAACGACTACGTGAGGCTGTCGATCAAAAAGGCGCAACCGTCGGACGCCGGGACGTATTTTATTATCGCTAAAAACGTGTACGGGTCTGATAGGGCGTTTGTCACTGTCGGGGTAAGTGATCGTATCAGCAGCAGTTGGGCCTCACCGAACAGGTCCCGGTAGGAACGTCTCGTGATATGTCATAATATTGTTATTAAACTATGATATGTTGTTTTTTTACGATATCAAAAATCGCTATCGTTCTTCTTTTCGATCCGTTTGATATTTAATTATATGAATAATTGTTGTAGCCTGCCGTTCGAATAATATAATATGTAATATATTATTATTATCATAATATACACCAGTTGTAATATAGCCAACCAAAGCGGAGTTTTCTTTTTTTTCTTCACTAATAAAAATTAACCAAAAACACAAATATTCCATTTGATCGTGACTCATATTATATGATTTTATTAAAATAAATAGAATAAAATAATAATATATAAATATTATATATTATTATTTATTTTATTAAACAAATAATACAATATATATATAATGTACATGCGTCGAAATTGTTTTTTTTCCAAGCACTGTACATTATAATAATTTATAATTTATATTCATACAATATCATCGTAATCGGAGCTCGATCTGCAGCCCTAGATCGGTGTACAAATGCAACAATATAGTTACGTCACGATTTCCTTTCCTCGTTCCGAAAGCTCTATAGCCTATAACCTATCGAATTTGTCCGAATAACAGATTTTGTTGGAGTGCAAAATCGTATTTTTCAGAAACCGTTCAATCAGATCAAAATGGCCAAAGTACAGGCATATCACAATATGGCGTAGTAGGTATCCACTATATAATAAAATTGAGCGAGTCGACTTGTATGTGACCGAGTATAATGTCGTTATATTATTTAAAATTTTAATGAATCGCTATTTGAAGCGTATTTTATATTTTATCGTTATATAAATTATATTACTTCTTTATCAATACATTTTTTTTTATTACGAATAAAATAATGCGTAATCGTAATTGTTTGTTTTATGTTAATTATGATGCCCGCAATAATAACAGCAGACGTATATAGGTAACCTGTAAAGTTGCTGCTATATACATTTGAGTTTAGCGCTTATAAGGAAGTATGTTTTAAGTAACTAGTAAATTATTCATTTTATCGTCGTTTCAACCATTAAAATCTGTTGGTAGTGTTATTGTTTTTTAAATGATAATCTACGTGACCGTATAATATGATTATTGTTCGGCACTATCTCGACGAGTACCTATATGTGTCGTAATTGAGAAATATTTGTTTGTAGTGACTGATTTAATTTAATTTTAGTATAGAAAGCTCTCTTGTACTAACTGACTTTTACAGTGTAATTTTTATATGAATTACATATTTTTATTTTATAAAAATATAATTTTAATTGAAATTAAATCTATGATTATTAATCATCATAATAATACATCATATTATTACGGTAGAGTCACACTAGTAACTATTTATTTTATAACTACCTACTACATTTTTAGAGATCTCCGACCTGTTATTTGAACAAATTATCAATATTACGAGCTAATTATGGCTAGTATAATTATAAGCTATACCTACCTATTTAAATTGTTGATTGTCGATGTGTTAAATAAAATAATTGTGACGTGATTTTGCCATTTTTAAAAGTTTTAAACAATTTTGAAATGTAAATATTTTTTTGATTTTACACTTATTTTACATATTTTAATATTAGGTATATTAATGCATAATGATACATTTTAGTTAAATATATTTATGCATTTTCCACACTTAGTTTATTGGCATTAAGCCTGTTTAATAATAATACAAAACTATTTAGAAAAAAAATAAAAATATTAACAAAAAAATTATAACTATTTTTAAGTCAACAAATTTAAAATTTAATATTATCTACGCAACTAAATTAAACAATAACAATAAAAATGTATGACGTATAATAAGCTATGCTTTTTTAACGACTGTTCAATAATAATAATAATAATAATTAAAACAATAATAATGTTATGGTGTTTTTAAATAAAATGTTTTCATATCGTTATAGTAAGTACAGCAATTTTTAATATTTATTCATTTAATAATTTCAATGTATTTTTTTCTTTTTGTATCATTCTTAGTAAAATGTGACGTAATATCGTTGAATAGGTAGCGTAATGATTTTCACTTTAATATTATTGATACACAGACACAGGTAATCGTATCATAAATTATTATTTACATTAAAATCGCATTGATAAAGTTTACTACATTTCAAAATAATAATATATAAATCAAATTTTTGGAAATTTTGGTTTGAATTTTATGTAGGTATAACAATTAACAAGTAATAATAGTTATTACTTTCAGTTTGTTTATAATCACGGATTAAATAAATTTTATGAAATCTGTGTTATCGTAGTCTGTCCATTTTACAACGACAAATTGAGAATACTGAAATGTACAAAGTACGTAAATACCATTCACAACATTATATCAAACAATTACACAAATGTCTATACAATTATTGTTTATAACTTTATTTGATAATCAGGGCCTGATTAACTAATAGGCTGAGTAGGCTACAACCTAGGACGCCAATCGGCCAATGTTAAATTGAGGTCACTACAAAATAATTTTTATTATGAATGAAGAATGTTTGCATAATATATACTTCAATTAAAGGTAAAATTATTTTTTTAAACTGTCCCTATGTATCAGAATTCAGCACATAATATTATTAAATTTCCATTATTATATGGAATATGAGAAAAAATAATAAATTTAATTGAAAATTAAATATTTGCGATAACGTTTTATTACATCTAGGTTATAATAATTGTGTTTTATCATAGCCGGTGTTGGATATTTCTGTTTTTACCATTATGATAGGTTAAAACGAAGGACCTTGAGCTTTTGTTTATTGAAAGTGAATTCATAAAAAATATTTTTTCGATGAAATAGCGAAGTCTTTTGCAACGTTAAAATAAAAAAAAAATGTTTTCATGTAAAAGTGTAGTATAAAACAAAACCTTAATTTTTTTTATGAATAATAATAACATCAGTCATAAATTTTAAAATTTTTATTGCTTTTGTATATTATTTTATTAAATATAAAAAAATATTTTAGTAAAAAAAATTTTTTTTTTGATTTTTATACGTTTTATATAGCCCTCCTCTTATCCCCTCCCTTGATTCTTCGTAAGTACGCTATATCAACCCTAGCCTACTGGTGACCAACTCTTTAACAGGCCCTGATGATAATATTATCATATATTATTTGATGGAATAGATTATAATGATTTGTTTTATGAATTACAAAACTGATGTATACATGCTTGAAGTCTAAGTATCAAATTTATAAAAGTTCATGACAAGATTCTGATAAACGTATACTTACATAATTATAATTCAATCATTTACCAAAAAAAAAAAAAAAAAATACATACAAGTTATTTTTTTATTGCTGCAAATTTAATTCATATTTAGTTTTATAACATTGTATATATAATAATAGTGATTTTTGTAAGTATTTATTATTAGGATGATATTATATATATAACACTTATAAGAAAAAGAACTAAATCTAATTTTTAAAATTTTATAGTATAATTAAAAACCTCTACAGAATGTAGTACACTGATAATATAAGTCAGAACAAAATCGAACTGACCTTACCGAAATAAACTAAAAAAATATATATATTTATACTTTTAAATAAGATTCCGTATTTAATAATATAGAACAGAATTATCATATCAAACTAATATTATATAATATTTTGACAAATTCGATAGTCAAAATAATTTTTATAGTATTATATTATTACAAAAATATTTACTATTTTATAATTTACTTTAAAGTTAAAATTGTTAAAATTCTACATCATAAATTGTTATAATATTCTAAAAAAAAAAATATTTAAAACAACCTACTAAAAAATAATGCATTCTATAATAAACACGAATAACTAAATTTTTAATTATGGTCCTATATTTTCAAATATAATTTGTTTTGAGTTGATGGGTCTGCTTTTATTTTTTTATTGCTTTTCATTTTGTTTCGTTTTGAATTGGTGTTCGACTACCTTAATTCAGCCAATATTTAGTTTTTAAAACTATTATTATGATACAAAATATAATTTTTTTTTTTTTTAAATCCATATGGTTATTTTTTTAGAATTTTTTTTTCTTTTGACAAGAACGTATTTTTACAAAAACATGTTATTAGACTTTTTTATCGGAATCGTGATTTTTTCTTGAGTGTTAATCGATATTATCGAGCAGATTCATTTAGTTACATTAACTGTAAAATGTTAGTGGTTAATGCCATTCGTTCATGGACGCAATTTTATTCAACGTGTTGTCAAAAATAAAAATGTCAAATAAATGGCAAATAAAGAAAATTATAAGTTGAGTGTTTTACAATAGGACGATTACTGAATTTATATACTTTAATTGCATGTTTACGTTTTGTGAAGATCCATTATCGTTACGAAATTCGAAGAATTGAATAATTCTAATTACTTATTATATCTATATATGGCTATATGTATAATAATTAATTGGTAATTGTGTAATATTCATACATATTTATACTCTAATCATTATATAAATATATGTTGAATTAATCTTTATTTAATTATTATATATTATTATATTTAAATATTTTTTTTATAAATAAATACATTTATATCCCACATAATATGTATTATAAAAATAATATTATGGTAATATGTATTTTTTTGGTTTTGTCTGTACCTATTTTATAAAATTTTAGTATATGAGTATGATACCAGATTATTTGTGCTTAATACTTAATGGTTATAATGAGTTACAATAAGTTTCTAAATTGCCTTGAAAATACGAGTGTTTTAATTTTTAATAGTAATTAAAAAGTGATATTATTTGACTCTAATTTGAGGGATTTTTAAAAACAAAGTCAAGTATTGACTATCCATCAACGAGTTAAATACACTTCCGTGTTTTTGTTATAAACATTGATAATAATACACAACAACAGATGTATAGACCGGTGTTTGTCAATTGCGCCGATTTTTCTAGACTACCTGAAATTTATACATCTTTTGCGCCGGTGGATTTATCCCAAACGAAAAAGGTATACGTCTTTTGCGCCAATAAATTTTTCATTATCACAAATTAATTTGGTATAGGTACAATATAATAAAATTATAATAAAATATCATATTATTATACTATTATATTAGATATTTTATATTAATTAAAAAGTACATAATTAATTAAATTATCAAACATATAAAATTAAGTGTAATTTAAAAAATATAAAAATTAAAAAAATTAAAATACATATAAATAAACGATGATAAATTACATATGAATAAATTTTCAAAAAGTATTAAAATTTCATTTCTTATTGTAATGGTGACTTACCGACTTCACAAATTGAAACATATTGATAGTACCGTTTTTATATCTTGAAATATGATCATCGATGTTTGTTTTTTGTTTTTTATACTTACGAATTTATAAAAACGACGACACAATACTGATCATTTGGAAAAAAGAAAAATAGCTTGTTAGTAGTTATTACTTCCATAATATAATATTATTACATTATCTCATTTTTATTAGTGGATATTCCGATTTTACTAATTTATTGCATGTAGATAGATAACGTATAGTACCTATGTACTGTTTAAAACGTCGCGATTTTAAATCGTCCGTGTGAAATATAAACGCAGACGAGTACGTTCAAATCGCCTAGTGTGTAATCAGCTTATTTTTCAACTTCAGTATTGCCGGCGCAATTAATGTATAATCTTTTTTGGACCTAAATATCGTCCGGCGCAGTTGATGTATAACCTTTTTGAATCCCATAATTTTTTTTTCCTTACCTGCGATTTCTGGCGCAATTGACATATACCCGTATAGACAAGTTTTAGATAACCTTCCCCTATTCTAAATTGTTCATAATACTATTGGTGTTAATTAAATGGTAGGTACAGTTATGCAACTAGAAATGTCTTAAGTGAGGATCTACGATATTATATATTTATATTTTACATCAAATTATTTATTATTGTTTAACATTATTATTAGAACTTATTTTATAAATATTCTACCAAACAATCATTTATCACTGATATAAATACCCAAATATTTTCAAGAGGGAGAAGGAAAAGGGTGTTACCGAAATAATCGCGATATTTCTGATATCCAAAACCTAGTAAAGTTCACAAAGTAAAATAGTGATAATCTGAAAAATTAAAAACCTACTTCAGCTAAATAAACTTTTATTTGTGTGTAGGCAAAGGGTAGGTTATAGATAAATTTACCTACAGGTAAACAATATTATTAAAATATAACTTATGTGTTACGTGGATACTTTTAAGTACTTTGTATTATAGCTTCTTTTTTTTTTTTTGTACAACTATGTTATAAATAGGTACACGAATAGTTTAAATATTTTAAGTATAAAATGTATTCGTCTCTCGAATGACGAGTGAAGGCGGCCATATATTTCGGTTTCAATAATGTCAACGAGTCGAACATCTCTACAGACATCAAGTACATCTATATAGCTATACATTTTTATTAAACATTATCTCACCCGCTGGAATAATAAGCACCAAACGTGGATAAAGTTTTAAATTATTAAACGACCCTTCCCCCCGCCCCCTATACAAATAATATATAATATTATAATGAAAAATATATTTTACAATAATTACGACTATTACAGTATTGTTTATATTGCATAGGTGAGGAAGCGTGCGAGATCGTTAACACCGCCGCAAATCAGAAATACGATTAGCAGCCGATGGTTATGGCCGATAGGCGGTAGAGGAGGAAAAAGATGCTGCGCAAACAACGGTGAGCATTATAATACATATAGATGTCGCAAAAAAAACTGAGAAATTTTCGTAGTGGTAAAACGGAAAAATATGACGGCGACAACTCACGATGGCGAGCAGCGTTTATTTCGGTCGTTTATCGAGGACCATAACGTCGCAGTCCACCGCTATTTTTAACAACCGCAGTGTACGGTGTCAACGGGTTACGCGCGCATTTCCACTCGCGAGTTCCGTTTCCTCTGACAAAACAAACTTGGGCGCACGCACGCACCCCACATCGTCCTACAATAATAATTATCGGTAGTTATTTATTAGTGTGCGTGTACGTCACATACCTTTAAAAAATTAGTAACGCGCAAACAGCTGCAGTGAACGGAAGGAAATGGTCTATTCCGATATCGATACCGAGAGCAACATACAACTTTTGCGGGACCGATGGACGCGGAGACGCGGGACAACGACCCACACTACCGCAAATTTCTTGTTGTACTTATGCGAACACCAAAGTATACGTTATACCTATTTATATATACATAATAATATTATTAAATATAATATAATGATAATACATTTTCATTGCCGCATTACATCAGCCCAACGGGAGTGGTATGACGTTTAATGGAAATTTAATATAGGCCTCGGTCTTTCGAATTAAAAATTAATTATTGAAACAATTAAAAAAAAAATTCAATTAAATGAAAAGTATATAAAGCTATCATTGTTAATGCGATTTCCGTTCGCTTTCCAGAAGTTCCGGGCCCCGTGCGCAGCGAACCGACGGTGACGGACCGGACCAATAACCGGATATCGTTGCAATGGGATAGACCGGAAAAACCGGAAACTGTGCTCGTCTACAGAGTAGAGACGCGAACAGCTGACGAAGAATGCTGGCGGGAGGTACAATATGCTGAGCTTTTTTATATATTATATCCAATCCACCGATTTATATATTATTTAATACTTTAAATTAAAGTTGAGATGACAAGAGACTACAGAAATTATTCTGTTATTATCTATGTGATAATTACATGGACGATAATTCTAAATTTTATCCGAAAGTATTTGTATCGTCTTTAATATCGTTGGAACGAACAACTAAGAGCTGCATTCAATTCAAATCTTAGGTCATAATTCTCTAAAACATGACCTTATATATTTTGGTTTTCACATGTATTGAATTAAACATAGTGAATCATGTATTAAAAATATAAACTAATTTATGTATTACAATAACAATAATAGAGGTCACTTATAAAATCATAAAAAAAAAAAAATTATGAAATGAAAAAAATATTTTAACAACAATTTTTGCTGGTTATTTAAATTAAAAAAAAATATATATATATATACACATAATATTTACTTTTATATTTAATTAGCAAATAAATCCCTGTTTTAAAGAATGACAGTTTTATTTAATTTTTTAAAAATACGTAGCATTTCGTGTAAGTATATGAAAAGTTTTATACAGCTGTTTTTTAAATTTTTTTTTGTTTTCTGCTATACTATGTAAATAAAATCAATACCCCCCAATGGAACCAACATAAATTATAGAAATATGTCCCACAGAATTGATAGGTATTAAAACAGCAAAAGCGATAAAATCACATACACATTTAAAACACTTAAAACGCTGTAAAAGCTCTTGCTCCTTTATTTATACTCATGCTAATTTACTATCAGGTTTCTATAAAATAAATAAAATAATATCCACGCATTATTTGTATCGCGCAGGTTGGCATGACTCCCACCAATACCATAGATGTGTATAACCTGAAACCGGGTTACCAGTATCAATTTCGAGTGGCAGCTCGCAACAGATTCGGATGGAGCCAGCCGGTAACTTCTAAGGGATATGTGGACGTATTTGAGCCGAAGTTTTTACCGGAATTCCATCAACCGTTGCCTGGACAAACCAGGGTGTTATTGCAGCACAAAGCAACTTTACAGTGTCACGTAAGAACAAATTTCCGTTATTTTTTTGAGATTAGCTAAACAATATAATATTGAAAATACGTCCCATCATGTTCGTAAACGTATACATCTTATTGTACACGCATTCATTTTTATCATTACGCGTGGAACGATATCGAAATATAATTACAAAACGTAAATATGATAGTTTCGAAAGAAACTTGGTCTTAAGTTCTGATAGCCAGCAGCTACGTACATATATATAGTACACAAGTACTCAAGTACTCGTGATTTTTCCGAACATCAATAATAATTAGATTTTTATTTGACATATTTTAAGCAATAAATAAATGTTATCATAAAGCTCTGCGTTATTTTGTACCTACGCGTATTATTATTATTGTCATCGAAAGAATTCACATTTCTTTATTTTTACCACTGCGGTGGTAATATTTTTGTACAGTTAAATCACACTAAACCGTGGAGGGGGAGGGGGTGTTCGATGGCACGGAATACTTTAATGTCGGCCATCCGAAACGTATCAACGTGGTTGGCACGACTTAAAGGGAAATTGTGATTGTCATTCTGTCGTTTAACCGTATTTATGTACGACTTGACAATGATTATGTTGAACAATTAATATCAATTAAAACAATAATAATATCAAGTAAACTGATGTTGGTGTATTCAGATATTATGTAAAATTTAAATTACAAACAATTTTATTTCACATTGTTAATTAATAATACTGAAATATTTCATAATTATACATAAAAACATCTAACAACTTTTCAAAGTTAAATGTACCTACCAATTATTAACGATTTATGACAATGCATTAAATACTTTCCATACGTCGTAATAAGTATAGTACATATTCAAATATTTTATTTGTGATTTTTTTTTCAAATACACTAAAAAAAAAAAATATTTTTTGATTTTATAAATATACGAGTGGACAAAAATTAGGTATTAAAAAAATAAATACAATTTTTAAAACAATTTTTTTTAACTTTATCTTGTTTTGATTTAATAAAACCTTTATTATGTATTATAAAAATAAAAAACAAATGCCTATATATAATTTTAATTTATTGAATTGTTATAATATAAAACGATGATTTCGTAGATTATGTTTATCGACGATTAAAATTTGAAATGCATAATTGACAGGTCCGTGGTATTCCAGAACCACGGGTGACGTGGTTTAAAGATGGCGAACCGTTACTAGCAACGGACAGACATTCGGTCGCGCGCACGGACGCAGGGAAATGTACGCTGTCGATCGAGGATGTGGCGGACGGAGACGCGGGTCGCTACTCTTGCGAAGCAGTTAACGACCAAGGGAGAGTGTGTACGTTGACCGTCGTCCAAGTGATTGCCAACCGTAGGATTGTGGAGGCAGAACAGAGGCTCCAAGGGTGAGTACAATACGATACGAAATATACAATATTATTAAATTTCACTTTTACTAAAACTACGAGCGGTTTATGGTATTTAAAAATTGATTTTTTTATTTGGCATTTAAAGCATTTTCAGTGTGTATTTTTATACATTATATAAGCATTTATTATACGATTAGATAATCTAAATTGTTATCTTATTTTGTTCTTGTAATATTAATTTTGTGTTTGACTCATCATCTAATCATTATATAAACTGAAATATAACATGAAAAAAAATAGAATTAGGTCAATTATGGCTTGAGTATATGTATATTGTGTAAACTATTTATTTATTTATTTAATTATTTAATGGGCAAGATGCCCAATAGAACAGTAAGACAGTGTACACAGTAGATATAGCAATTAAATACAACATAGTTGAGAATTTACTAACAATAAACAAAAACAAATTAACTGAATTACAAAAATTTAACAGATTGTTGTAGTAATAATAAGAAAGTATGCTGATTACTAATATTAATAATAGTAGGAGAAATTTAAACGAGGCTTTGATTCTTCATTCTTCAGACGTATCATACAGTGAATAGGATAGTTCTTACCAAATATTTATTAGTGACGTTAAATAGGAAAATAAAAGAAAAATTTATTTAGTGTAGTGATAAGGAACACTAAAATGTATTTGGGAAATGAGAGAGAGCATTCGTCAATTAACTTATGCAAAACTACCAAAATAGCTTCGTTTCTTTCATTTGTTAGAGGAATAATTCCATATCATTACTAAATTATAATTATGTGGAGTGTGGGAAATGTATAAAATTAAAATTACTGAAGAACAATAATGTCACTAGATTCCCTCTATGTAAGAGGAGTCAGTTGCTGTTAACGGGTCTCGGAGAATATAAGAATACTCCAAACGCATTGGATTCTTGAAATTCTTTAGACATTCATAAATGTAGAATTTAAATATCATTGCTATTAAAATTAAATATTTTTTCACTATACATGAGTATTATATAGATAATTAATTGCTCGATAATATCGATATGCTTAGCAATGATTAATAACTGTGAATGTAAATTATTTAATTGATTTATGTTATTGCAATATTTGGTACGCGATAAATAGTATTTAATAATAATGAAAATAATTAAATTGTACAAAATAAATATACTATTATTAATTTTTTGTTATTATCAACTATGTCAAAATTAGGTTATTTTAATGCTATTTATAGGTATAGATTAGAAAATTCAAGCTTACTAGTTAAACTGATTAATTTTCATTAAGTAATAGAATATTAGTAAAATATTTCCAAATAGTTATTGTTATAATAATGTATATTAGTACATTACACGATAACATTAAAATAAATAAAGCATATCCAATGAATACTCGATTTACCAAATATTTTATCGAATTTCTTCTAAAAATATTATTGAATTAAGTAAGATATTATTATTTATTAAATAAATAATTAATAATCACGAGCTTGTATTCACTGTTTTTTTATGCAATCATTGTGCTGCGGTCGCGTGCGCAAGACTTGAATATAATATTATTATATTTTTAACGTGTTGAAACTAAAAAAAGTGTTAAAACAGTTAACGCGAAAAATCGTGTGCCCTTCGACGTGTCGAAAACATTTGGAATGCTGCAACTAATAAAAATACGATACTAGAGATGATTTACATGCAAGGTCGAACAATTGGTTAATGCTTATATTGTAATAGTAGTTACATTATAAGTGTTATGAACTGAATTCTACCCAGCTGTATTATATAATATGTGTACGTCAAATACTTTGGATACAACAATGAAATTTAATCACAATTATTTGAACATACAAACTGTTTGTAATTAACGAATATTATTCGGTCAAATAATATGGACCGAGATTTCGCCTCGGTAGCAATGGTCTTTTGTTACCGTGAAACATATTCGGGGTAATCGCTCTCTATGGATTTTTAGACATTTTATTCAATTTTTAAAATTATTTAATTGTGTGACAACTTATTGTAATCTCCATTTGTTTTATTGTTGTGTTAACTATTTCGTCATTTTCATTTACGTGATTGATATATTTTACTATAATATTATATACATACGTTCTGTTATCAAACTATTATGTACATATATATAGTATATAATTTACCTGCAGGGATCAATGATTAGCTCAGTAGATAAAAAATACTTTTAGTGAAAGGAATAAGCGAATATGTTTCAATTTATAAAGCTAAAGAGTGTGAATCCCAAGATTACAGTTGTTAATTTCATCGGCCTAGCCAAGTCAATAAACAACAAACACGGATAGATTATTATAACAGTTTTTATTGTGATTATTGATGTGAGCTAGAACATTTTTTTAATTCTATATAAAAATTGTTTGTGTTTTTATATAATAAATTTTTGTAAATTGTATTACAATATCTATTGTTACAGGTGTTTGATGAAAAACAACAACTTCAAAGAATCGGCACCGTTATTCACTAAGCATCTAATCGACCGCAGAGTGGAAATAAATTCTACGGTCCGGTTGTCGTGTCAAGTAAACGGATTGCCCGTGCCGTTGGTTTTGTGGTACAAGGATGGTCGACCAATAGACTTTTTGGGTATGTAAATTTTTCTCTCGAACTACAATTTATCGATTTTCAAAATAATCGAAAATCAACAAATATTTTTAATGTGAAAAAATCGTCTTGTGTAATATATGCACGCCACCTTTTAGTTAGTTTTAGAGTAATTAAATATATGTATTTGTATATGATGATGCTATTGCCTTTTGTTTTCACAGATAGAACGGAAGGCGACAGGAAACCACCAATCAGGGACGATTCAGACGACTTCTACACACTGGAACTGACCGAAGTCAAGTACCACGACAGCGGTACTTACGCGGCTGTGGCGTCCAATGCGATCGGAAAGGCATCCACGCGGTGCGTGCTAGAAGTGTTCAACAAGAACCGCACCGATCCAGCGGTACCCACGTTCGTTTTTGGTCTGCCGACAACCATGGAAGCTGTAGACTCGATCGTTTTGAGCGCACAAATTGACGCGTACCGTCCCGTCAAAGCTGAATGGTAAGCGTTTATTCGGATACAATAACTTTTAATTTACCAACATTTAAGTCTAATATAGGTAAAATAAAGTAATATTTATCATTTAGGTTCTTAGTATTTACAGTCAAGGTTATGGTTGGTATTATCGGTTAATGAACGACTTATTAGTTATTATAGTTATAATTGGCTCATTTATTTATTGCACTTAAATAGCAGACCTGGCATTAATGATTATTAGCGAGTAATAATACAAGAAAAATATCCGTGTACTGAATTCCCTATGCCTATTAATGGGGTAAATTAAAATATATAGTAGCTGTAGCTCATATACGTAAAATATGACCCAAATGCAATCCAAAAGCGCAAAAATAAATATTTCATAAACACACACAAAAAAAAAAAAATACCTTTTTAATAAATCATAAGCGTAAATAAATTGAAAAAAATAAAGTGTACTCTATTATAATCATATAGTTATTAATAATTATCTAATAATATACGATTTAAAACATTTCACTCGAGTTTCTAACAATATATGTTTCAATTAAAAATTAATATAAAGTCATGAAATAATCTATGTAGTTTTTTTTTTTTATAAATTATGGCGTTTATTGAAAATTTACAATCTGTACATTATATACAATAAGTAAATATGATATAAGAATAATATAAAATGACTTTGAGTGACATGAAGGAAGACTCGCAGTCAAATCACCTTTTACAATGAGTTAAAAAAAAAAAAATTTTTTTTTAATGACTTATATAAATGAATTTTAATGGTTAAGCAGATCTCTGCACCAGTTGCGTTTGAGACGTCTTGTGGGGTTGTCTGGAAGAGTTTTTGAGGCCAGTTGAGAGATGAGGTGGTTGTGGTTCATGAGGAGTTTCCCATGAAATCTTTTATAGAAATTGGTGGCTGTGTTGTGGACGGTTTTGATTTGGAGGTCATCATGGAGTAATTTGTTCGTTACGTACCATGGAGCTTTGGCAATAATTATCAACCTTTACCGTAATCCGTTATGATAAAATACGATACGATAATATTAAACTTCTACTAAACTAGATCACTGTTGATGTATTTTAAAAAATTAAACTTATAGTGTAACGATCAACGAGTACAATATTTACTTTTACGCTTTTATTCCATTTCTAAGGTACAAAAGCGCAACAGGAATTTGCACTCTTTGTCTTTCCAAAAAAATAGACGATTTGCGCTTTTGGGTTTCACCGTACATAGTTGGATAAATACCCGATAATTAGGTAAATACCTCAATATTTGTATTATTGATTCACCTCTGATTAAATACATGGTATATTAGAATTTACAATTTAGTAAGTATAATTAAATTTATAAAACATAAATCATATAGAATATTTATATAAATATACGCCTAGCTTAATTACTCTATTTACTTTAAAAAAGATTTTGCCTTAGTGATTATTTGGTTAATAAACTAATGTTACAAAAGTATCGCGCTCAAAGTAAGTCCAATTTCGGTAACAACTACTGTACCTAATGTACACATGTTAGAATTGATTTAATTCAAAAATTAAAATTGATAGACCGTATTGTATTTAAATGTTTTTTATATTACAAAAAAATACTACATGCATACGAGACACCTGTATATAAAGTATAAACAATTATAAAACATAGTTATTGTATATTATTATAAAAAGAAACTTAATTGTTTTAATATAAATCAATAAACGAAATTTGTTTAATTTTTATTTACAGGTTTAGAGACGGTATTCAATTGAGGAACGGACGAAGGGTAGACATTATTACTGATCACGATGGAAATCTAGAACTTAGGATAGCATGTGTAACAACACGGGATTCGGGTACTTATATGTTGAGAGTGTCTAATGGTACAGGTACGATAGAAAGTCGGTGCGATGTCAATGTAGTGGAACGCAAACATAACGACACGAGGATGGAGCAAATTTCTTTGATTAATCATTTGTGAGTAAATATAATAATACTTATATATTCAGTGAGTAGACAGTTAATGTAGAACATTATGAACATTTTTTCAAAGTATACCATTTGGCCTTTATATAGATATTTTAAAGTATCTAACTTTCTATAAAAAAAAAATATATTATGATAATTGAATTTTTAAAAATATTATATTATTAATTTAAAAATAATTCTACACTTTTATATGTTTTAAATATATCTAAATATCTAACTTAAATGTAAATTGCATTGTGCGCACTGCTGTTATAATTTTTTAAATACTACACTAGATACCATATTAATCTCATTATTACATTTCGAATAGATATTCAAAAAAACCAAAGTTTGTCGTAAAACCGAAATTTCAAGAAGTTGAAGAAGGCCAAGAAGTGATTATCGATTCAGAGATCGTGGGTGATCCATTACCGAGGATTACATGGCTCAGAGACGGTTTGAAGGTAAGACTTTTTATTAAAATTTACATTAGTGCTATACATTGGATATACTGTAATAATTCCATCATTTTTTACGATACATAAAATTTTTGATAACATTTTAGTTTTAATATTACCAATTCGCTGCTAGCACATAACATCAACTTATTATATTTATTTGTAGAGTAACTTTCTTAATGCATAAAATAATAACATAATATATTATAATAAAATTACATAGGTATTTTGTAGTATACTTATCATCATATAATTATTTACTGAATTTTAAGAGCAGAATGCTACAATGACTTGTAAAATTACTGAATTACTGAATTTATGTTTACATTTATTTATACACATAATAATATGACTCACTTGACATATTATTATAATATATTATGTTGTTTATACCTCAATATATTGTACATCAGTGATCTCCAACCTGTAAGATAGAAGTGGATCGGAATGTCCGAATGTACTTCAATAATAATTTAAAAAAAATGTAAATTAATTTAATTCAATTTTATGCTGTTTAAATGAATACCAAATAAATTTTAAAACGGTTCATTTTTATACATATAAAACAGTATAAAAATCTTTTATTGAAAACATTTTTTTTTTTTTTTTTTGACACATATATGTAGGTATTTTATAAGTTTTTGTGCTGGATACAACTTTTTTTCTAACTATCCATATGGTCATGGCAACCAAAACTAGCAATTAGTAAACATGAAATTAATATTATAACTTATAACTTTATAATTTAGTGTTGTTATAATACCTTAGTTATTCTTAGTAACCGATGAATAATATGATTATGTTAATATAGTAACAAAAAAAAAATTTAAAAAAAAATGTTGGATCCATAATTTACACAGTTTTTTTTTCATAATCCGATTTCTCATAAATTTAACTCTATAGCACTGGTCCATTAATATAATTACTTTACCATAGAAACCTCGTTTATACATAGGCACATTATATATTAATGTATTATATATAATATATATACAATAATTTTGTAAGCATATGTTTCAAAATTTTTCTAAGCAGAGAAGAAAATATATTGTATATTTAGGTTTTAATATTATACCAACACGTTAACACGTCTTATTATAATATTTATTTGCGGGGAGCAACAAATATGTTGTGTAAATTACAGTATTTTATATACACATACTACATAGCTATCTCATAGGTTTTACGATATTCTATAATATTATTTTAGCATTATGACTCACATGATATAAATAATAACTAAAATAATTCGCTAATCTAAGGTTGTAGATCACGCTTATTGTATATAATATAAACGTCGCATGTAAACGTACGCGCTATACGTTAACAAATATGTAACGAAAAGTTTTTATATGGACTATCTTATGTAGTAAGTCACAAAAGTTATTATGCTGTAAAATTAGTGCTATATATTGCATTGGCATTATCGCCATATAATATTATTGTTTAGGAAGTCCATAATCATGTTCTCGAAAACATAAAATAAAATAGTGTCGTAGTCTTCCCCTTTCACATCACTCAGATAAACTCTGAGAAGATAAAAAAAAAAATCGTTGTTTAAAACTCAACACAATTCAACACCCCTCTCTAGAGTTTTGAGTACATTAAACTCGTTTCGCGTGCCGTCTACAGCACAGAACCAAACGCCAGATCCGTGAACAAAATGTCCTTCTCTGGCAAAACATAATATACCTATTATCCCAATAAACGGTACACGTAGCTATACATATATATATATCGGTACTTTCCGATAACTAGGTATATATTATAATAATAATATGCTGTATTATGATATTTTATATGCGACTTTATGCAGTCCGTTGGACAAAGTCATGTTTTCCCGCGGCACCGAAGACCGCGCGAGCAAGCATTGTTGTTCGCCGCTGTCACCACAGTCGCCGTCGCTACCGTAGTGGTGTATTATAGTACCGTGTGAGTCGCGATATTATAATACCAGCTAATAATAATAATACTTACCTATTATGCGGTACCTGTATCATTAGATTATAAATTAGGAATATATACGTTTCGTTCGATGGCGGTTCTCCGCAGGGAACGCACGAAATCACATGAAAATAACGACTCGCGCTGAAAGCCACGTCTCCCGTCGTCGTTGTCGTCGACCGACCGCACAATTACTCGGGTAATATATTGTTAATTGGGCCCATATTTGGAACCGTGGTAATATATTATTATTATTATGATAATTATTATTATTGTGAAACCAGATTTCTGACCGTTCGAAAACCGCCGCCGCGTTATCCGACCGTCGTACCGCGCATTATAATGCGAGGTGCCCATATCGGCCATACCTATATAATAATAATATAATATTATCCATAATACCTAATACACATAGACAACATTACAATAATATTGCCATCAGAGCTATTTCTATATAGTGATATCAAATAGGATATGGCCGCGGTTGTCAAGAGTATAGCCTGTTAAAACGAAATGATTTTGTGGCATAGTCGGCATGGTAAATGTCAAAAAAGTCGTCAGCCGCTGGTGCATGTGCCGCATTTAAGGCTCAGGTAAACATGCACGTGACATGACTTGCGCGTATAAATGTGTTGTTGTTATTGTATCACTATACTATCGGTTATCGAGGCGATATCATGCACGGAAATGTAAACAGAATTCAGATTGAATTCCAGCTACGATAACAGTTCATACTATTGTTGTGCAACGAGCATATTATTATAATGTGCAAACGCCGCAGTTAACAACTATTATATTGCAGTATATACAATAACCATGTGAATTAATAAAATTGGAAAGTATTAAGTAATCAGAGTCCATGATATAGTACGTATATTGAACGTCGTTTTTTAAAAACAATATATAATTATAATAATCTACCTTTTACCGTGATTTACAAAATAATAAACAAATAAAATTAAAGGATTAATGACATATAATATTGATAATTTACATGTCTATTTTAATATCATCCAATCGCAGTATTCTTCTTTTCAATGCCTGTAGACTTTAATTATCTATAATTCGTAATTGACTATTCTTTTCGAGTCTCGTAAAAACTCTTTTATCACTTCATTGATCTCGATTTTTGGTACAACTAAAGTTTAATTTTAGCGAGGGGTTAAAATTTTTTGTATGACATTTTATATTCCAAGTATATGATTATATTAATACAAATTCTCACTGATAGATTATAGTAGATGACTAAATAATAAAGGTCAGCAACTGCATACTAATCATATAATAAGAATAAATGCATGATTAAAGGAAAAATGCGGGCGATAATATCCTTGGTGAATTACTCTTTATGTCTATAGGTATACACATTGTGTTTTTTTATTATTGTATACATGTGGACTAAAAAATTACTAATCAGGCGCCAAACGGTCGCTGACCGAATATTAAACATACCTATACCTATACACATCCGAATTAAATAAATTAAATGTCCCTCAATTAATTCTACAAACCAAAACAATACAAGACGTAATAACGATAAAACAATAAAAAAAATTATATGACGTGTATAGTACAGCAAATCGATTATTTTTATTGTTCAAAATGTATATACATGAGTGCACGCGCGCAAATCGTTATAATATAACGATAAATTAGTTGTCGCGTCGTGTCCGTTTCGAAAATCGGCAAACGTGTTGAAATTCGTGAATAGTATTACAATCCGAGATGCCATCGACTATAATGACAATGATTACTATTATTATTGTTATTATTAATTTTTTTTTACTACGATGTATCGCAATTGTTGTATAATACGCACGCCCATTGTTCTGAAGTAACGACGCTCAATATTCGCAATCGAAAAATGGAAACGATCACGAGCTTATACCTTTTCGATTTACATGTAGGTACAAGATTTTATTATAGAGTTGTACACACACGGGAGAGAATAACAATAATAATAATAATAATAAAATTAAAACAATTATATTAACACACACATATTATAATCACTGTCATCAGCGTCCGCAATCGACGGGGCGTTAGTATACGATGTAGGTATGGATATTTTAACGCGTACCTGCGTTTGTATTATTATGCAATTTTCATCATAATCGAGCAAATTATAGATAGGTACATAGTATATTTTTTTCGATCGTCACCTATACGTTTATGTTGTCGGTCTCACGCGTCTACGGGATCACCCAAAAAAATAATACTATATTATAGTAGGTACCTATTCATAGTAATACATTTTAATATCGTAGTAGTTTTTATTATTGTTATATAATTTTATAAAAAAATAACTTTACTTACACCAATCTATATACATTTTATTAAATAAAAGTCTTGATATTATGTGCATAGATGTTACATTTCACTTACATTTCTGGATGGTATCCGTCGTAAAAATTGTTCGTGTCATGAGAAATGACTCAGAAATTTCTATACATAATACGAGATTAGAACGTTATTGTGAATGTTATAACTTATAATACAATAGACGTGTGATATGAAACATTGAAACCACGTAGGTGCCTATCGTAAATGAGTTTATTTTAAACAACGGAAAAAATAAATAATTTTAACAAATATTAAATTCATTATTATTAAATATATTGACTTTATAAATATAATATAGGATTTAAGATATTTATTTATTAATAATTTTATTGTAATTAATTTTTCAACTTTTAAATACCGTCTTGTTTGTAAGTGATTGTTTATGTTATGTGGAAATAATGGGTGATTCTCTAACACTCATCACCTAGAAAATAATATAAATATCAACGTTTTGGAAAATCTATGTCTTTGCATAATCTCAAGTCATTTCAAAATGACACATTGAACGTTCTATTAATTTCATAACTAAAATATATTAAATACTCGTTCAGCATTTTCAAAAAAATATTCTACTTTAAAAATTAAATTTAAAATTATTAAACTTGTTAATATCTTAATAATATGTATAATGGATATAGTATACCTACCTAATAAATGTATGCAGTTGGTCGTTCTCGTGACGTATGTTAAAGGTACGCTATTGCCTATTATAGTTTTAT